TCCCATCAAAACCAACCCATTCTGTGAATTTGTGATTCTGTGACAGGTGGGGAAAGCTCCTGAGCCTTTTCCATCAAGGATGTGAGGCTTATTCCTAGGTACAGGAATTGTTGAACAGAATAACCCCTCCATTATAGAGTTTTTCCAGCCATTTCTCCAGCCTCACTAGAGTTAGGTTCTGCACAACGTTCTCATTGTTCTTAGCAATGGCCCCCCAAGATCTCAAGGGCTTTTTGCCCTTCACACAGCAGGCAGCTGACCAGATGTGGCTGGGTATATTAACCCTCCCACTGGGGACGTTGGTGTCCCCATGTACAGCACCCGTGATAACATATGTGGTTGTACAGCCCCTGCTCTTCTGCATCATTCCTTCCTCGTACTCTCTCCAGGCATGCTGGTTCAGTGTTCTGTCCTGTGGCACTATGTTGGTGAGGGTGAAAGTTGCTGTCCTGCTGTCGTCGTCAATTTGGTGACTACTGGGACACAAGTGACCACGGTCCAGATTCGTTAGGTTCATGTAGTCATTGTCAATAGCCTGATTCTTGCCAATTTCGTTTGCACTGGTATTGTACTGTCGTATGATGGAATCTTCTGTCTGCATATCCTTGCGATAATCTTTGTTGACCAGCTTGAAATGGTAAGAGGAAAAGGTGTCAGTACTGAGGATGCATGGAATGAAACAGATTACCCTGGAGCAAACATCTCTGATTGTCAGAACCCCATTTTTTGTCATCTCAATGCAGGAAAATAGATGAATCAGAGAGAAATCATAGACATGCCCCTCCTGCATGAACACAAAAGCATTAAAAAGAAAGCAGCTCAGAATGTGACTGCTCTCATTTTCACTTGCGACCTTTGAGATCCAGCCTGCAGCCTGTGCTGGGAGCATGGATGGATGCATGAGACAAGGAGCATTTCCCTCTTCTAGGATTGAAAGATGACTTTGGTGAGACACCTTCCCTGACAAATCTGCTTCTCTTTCCTCCTGTCTCCTCAACCCAAATCTTCCCAGGGCTCTCCATCGATCCACTCATACCACTCTGTGATTCTGTGATTTTATGTCTGGTTGCTACAGGTGTACCCCAGTCCTGGAATACCAGAGGTTGCCTCCACTAACCCCATACCCAGGCAGATGTGACAGGAAATCAGTCCTGGAGCTGAGGATTCCCTGGGAGGGCTGCAGTTTCTTCAAGGATGAACATATTTTCTCAGTAAGCAAGAAGATCTTAATATAAATGGAATCTGTTAAAGCAGTGCTAAGAATGTGTCTGAGAGCTGATCTGGGCCAGGGAGCATTTTCTGCAGCATCACACAAAAAAATTAACAGATGATCAGCCTCTGAGGGGCCTTTAATCCCAAAAGAGTCCTGGGGAAACTGGTAGTACTCCAAAAAGGCCTCTGGAGAAAGTTAACAAAATCAAAGATTTTCCAGGTATCCTGTGTCTATTGTGTAGGAAGATAAGGCCAGTGATGAGTTTGGAGCATGCTGGCCTGGTGGCAAGTGGCCTGGGCCATGCAGGGGGTTTGGATTGAGATCCTCTTTAAGGCTTCTTCCAACACAAACCACTCTATGATTCTACAAAATGGCAGAAGTTTTTATGCCTTGCTAATGTGGAGGCTGCAGTGGTGCAAGAGCAGATTAATTGCTCATGTTCACATGAGTAAGAAGTGCAAATCATTATTTTTTTCATAACTTCAACAAGTTGTTGTTCATCTGTGGGGAAGCATATTTAGCCTTCCTCTGGAACTGGACTGTGGAGTCTGAAAGCCCCACAGACACAAAGTCTGCCTCTCTCCCATGGAGGGAATGCCCTTATACAATCTCCCTCATAATGGTTATAAGGTTTCCCCTGGCATGCCTCCCTGTTTCATGCAAACTGTTTGTAACGTATTGGTCCTTCCCCCTTTGCACCGCCCCTGTGGCCTCAGATGATTTGTTAGTTGTTCTACCCCGACCCCTGGCTCTCCAATATCAACCCTGCGCCCTCTGCCTCTTTAAGCTATTTCGGCCCTGGACCCTTTGAGAAGGAATAAACTCCGCCTTGGATCACCCCACGTGGTTCCCGTCCCTCCCTCCACCGTCGGCCGAATCGGGGCTCTCACGAGAGAGCTGAAATCACTTTCCTCCCGAGAGGGGGACCGTGCCTGTTGCCACCAGGACATCTCTCTAAAGACGCTCATCTGGAAGGTCGCGGCACTCGCGCGCGTCCCGCGCCCACTGGGACCTTCCCGCCGGTGCCGCGCCGCCGCTCCGCCACCGCCATACAGGACATTATGATCTTCCACATTTTCACCCAAAATTCTTCCCCTCCTGTACCCATGGAAAGGTCGTGAATGTCCTATTCTTCTGTATCGTAATTGGCCTGGCCTGTGTTCCTAGAGGTCTGAAGGAAATTTGTCAGGGCTCCATAGCTTTGGAGTTCTGTCTGTCTGCTGGATCCTTCTGGACCAAGCCTGAGCCAAAGGTGCTCAGGGGTGCTCAGGGGTGCTCAGGGGTGCTCAGGGGTGCTCAGGGGTCACTGCCCATGCATGGAGATCACACCCTTCTGACTGGAGTCACACTGATGCTCCTCACTTTTCACTGCCTGAAACATCACTCCAGAAATCCCTCCACAGTTAAGCTGACCCTCTCATCTCCTGTGCCTTTTCCCCCAAAGCTTTGTCCCTGGGCCATCTCACCCCCTTCTGAGTCTCTCCTCACATCTCTCACACCCCTCACCAAGCATGTTTGACTCTGCAATGGCAGCAGATGAGCCCTGTTAGGGCTGCAGAACAGCTCAGGGCAATGTGGGGAGCAGATCCCAGCAGGACAGTTGGTCCCTCAAGTTTAGCCTCCCTGGGGTGCCTTTTCCCCATCACTTGGTCCCCCACCACAGCAGGGCAGAGGGAGGAGAATCATTTCACTGTGTAATGTAATGCAAATTAATTTGATTTGCTGTTTCTGTGAGGTCAAGGCAGAAAACTGGGCACCTCTGGGATATGATTCATCTCATCCTCCTGCTGATGTCTCAGATGCATCAGAGGAACCATGTGGTGCAGGTGTTTGAAGGTAAAAGGAAAAAATTCCCATCCGGAGTGTGTCCATTTGCATGTGTGTAGTGGGGTGGTAGGAAATAGAAGTGGTAATTTAAATGCTGCAGCTCATCTCTGAGTGAGTGGAGGGTGATGTGCTGTAAGAGAGACACTCACCTGGGGCTCAACAAACCACGAGTCAGATCTGCTGCCATTTCCAGGCTGGTATTTATAAGCAGAGTACACTGGAATTCTCCTGTTTCTGTCATACAGGGTGGCAAAGCGATATTTGTTTGCATAGACCTGGCAGATGCTGGCTGCGTTCTGTAGATGCATATCAACAAGAGGGGGAGTCTGCGCATAAAAAAACTGAGTACACGAAGTTTTAAAGGACGTCACCACCTCGCTGTGTCCCAGCCAGAGGCAGCTCACCAACACCTGCAGCAGCAGCAGCCCCAGCATCGTGGGAGGATTTCAGTGAAGGGCTCTTGCTCCCCTGCAAGGCAAATGAAGAGGGACACTCAGCTGGGAGAGAGCTGGGCATGGCCTGGAGGCTTTTTGTGCAGGGGGACAGAACTGGCAGAGGAGGGGATTATGAGAGA